TCTTCCCAAATGACTTGGAAATTGAATATGAATTATAAATGCTCAGCTGATAGGTCAGGCTTGCTATGAGCTAACTCTTACATTTAAATCAGCCCATATTTCTTATCTATGCTTTGCCATGTGGCTCATGGCTTGTTACCTCGTTTTCTACACATCCTGTTTCCTCGGCAGTTGGCTGGCGTCTCTCTGACTCTGCCCTTCTTCTTCCCATCATTCTCCTAGTTTGAGTCCTGTCTATAATTCCTGCCTGGCTAACAACCAATCAGTTTTTTATTAAACCAATCCGAGTAACAGATTTTCAGTGTACAAGAGGATTATTCCACCGCATTCTGATGTTCCACATGTTAGTAACAGTTTATTATATTGAAGGCATATAATTTAGTTATTGTCATATAATTTAAATAGGCCTATTGTAGGATAGTTTCTGGATATAAATTCCCACCTCCTTAGAGAAGAATTCAGACCTCTCAACTTGGTTCAAGTGAGTGGAAGGCATGCACAAGCTAGCCTGGGTCCTCAAGGCCTGGGCTTGTGAGAAGATATCCACAGACCATTCTGGGTTCCTCAAGGTCTGAGATGGCAGAAGACATCCACAGGCCTGCCTGATGCCACTCAGCTCAGGTGGGTAGAAGGTACTCATAGGCCAGCCTGGGTACTCAAAGTCTGGGATGGCTGAAGACATCCCCAGGCTCACCCGGTGCTGGGCAGAAGGGTGCCATTATGATGAGCAAGTGTGTGGTGAAAAAAATGGAAAAGAAGTAGAATGGAAGACGTGAAGGTGGCGGGGAACGGGACGATATGGGTAGCCTATTATGGAATATGTGTATTCTGTGTGAAGATAGATTGTTGTGATTGGTTTAATAAAGAGCTGGGTCAATAACTAGGCAAGAAGAGGTTAGACGGGACTTCTGGGGACAGAGAGGACTCTGGGAGGAAGAAAAGTAAGTCGCCAGTCAGATGCAGAGGAAGCAGCATAGGCAGTACAGAAAGATGAGTTAACAAGCCACATAACAGCGTAGATTAAAATAAATGGGTTAAGTTATAAGAGCTAGTGGGACAAGCCTAAGCTAAGATCAAGATCCATGTTGTTATTTGGGAGATAGCTGGCAGGCAGAGAAAGACTTGTTACAGTAGCCTGTTTGCCATGCAGGGACATGGTGATATCCAGGCTTGGGCTGCTGCTAAGGGCCATAGCTGGGTTCATTGTCCTACCAAAGCCAGGCTCTGTGTTGACATCTGTTATCTATGTTGCCGCCAAAGGCCACAAGGATGCCTGGTGTCTGGGATGCTACCTATGGCCATGCAGGTGTTGGAGGGCCATGCTGCTGCAGGGGCCTTACTATTCCGAGTGGCCTACACTGCCACCCAGTGCCATGGTAATGTCCAGGACCAAGCTGCAACTGAGGGGCATGTCTGGGTCCATGGCCCTCCTTCAACCAGGGTCTGAGTTGATGTCCTTGGCTCCTGTTACCACTGAGGGCCTTGTCAATGCCCAGGGTCTGGCTTGCCTCCTGAAGCCACATGGTTGTCTGAGAACCATGCTGCCATCAGGGTCATACTGATCTGGGTGACCTGAGCTGTCACAGGGGCCGTGGTTGATGTCTGGGCCCAAGCTGTTGCTGAGGGCCATGTCTGGGTCCTGCTGCAGGTGGGGTATGCATTAATGTCTGTGGTCCGTGTTACTACAGGAGGCCATAAGAACCATATATTATGAAATCCAAGGGCCAGGCTGAGTCGGCCCTGCCCCTCGCTGGACACTGCAGCAAGAGAGCTTGCTCCACCCCTCACCATGGGCTTGAGAGACTTGGCCCTGATGGCATGGGCCTAGAGGAGCTGGCTCTACCCCTCACCTGAAGAGAGCAGCTCCAGTAGCCGGTTCTGACCAGTTCAACTACCACTCTGGTCCACATTCAGGGCCTTGGAGTAGCCCACCCTATCATCTACCCCATCTATGACCTACTGGAGCATGTGAAGGGTCTCCATGACTCAGGGTGGCCACTGGATATCTGGGAGGATTTTTGGTGAGGATCCAGTGATGATGGTGTACTAGAACCAGAGACCTTGAACCAGGCCCAAAGCAATGAACATTTACAAATGAAGTTGAAAGAACTGAAGGGTCCACTGCATGACACACACTGACTCCCAATGCCAGTAAGACAAATAAAGAGATGTTGGAGAGGCAGAAAGGATGGAGGAGCAAAGTGTTTTGTTTGGTTGGTTTGGTTTTAATTTTTATTAATTTTTTTTTTTTTGGTGGGGATGCTGTAAGGGTGAATGAAGGGCAGATAGGGAGAGATGGGACATGAGCTGAATTGGGGTGCATGATGTGAATTTCCGAAGAATCAATAATGTTGGGGGAAAAAAAAAGAATTAAGAACTCTTTTTCTGCTTCTCTTGCAGCTAGCAGGTGGCCTACGGCGTAGGCTATGCAAACCAGAAGGACCAGGGGAAACGTGAGAGATGAAGGCACACGAGCTCTGTGCACAGCATGATGATGAAAGCAGAGGAAAATGAAGCAAAGCTGAGCTCCTGGGACCTGATGCTTGATGGAAATAGCAGTCTATCATGTCGGTTCTGATATGTGGGTTATGACGTTTTTTTCCCCTAAAAGACCAACCTTGTTTTTTCGAGCTCTCCCAATGATTCTATACTGTTCTCATTTTCACCCCCCACCCCGGCCTAAAAAGGAGTTTAATGGATATAACAACTTGTCAAAGCCTAAAGTCAGTGAATATTCTCTTTCTGAGTTAAGTCTAGAACATCTTAACTCCAAACTGGCTCCTAGTATAATCTATTGTATTCCAAGGGTTAGTAGTTCAATTGCATCTAGTTTTCAAGTTCTAAAATATCAGAATCTTAAAAAAAAAAAAAATAAATAAAAAACCAAAAAAAAAAAAAAAAAAAAACTACAGCTTTGGATTGACCAAGATATTTACTAATTCATTCATTTATTCTTTCATATCTAACCTCATTTCTTTTTGGGAATTTACCCTCTTTTTTTCTTCTAATACTATGTCCTTCAGGATTTCTTTCTTCCTTCTTTTTAAGATACAGTTTATAGCCTAGCCTAGCCCTGACTCCATAAATAACTGAGGATGATCCACTGAAGATAATTTTCCTGTCTCTACATCCCAAGGGCTGGGGTTTTCGACATGAACACACCCAGTTTGTAAAATACAGGGGATTAAACCTGGAGCCTTGTGCATGACAGGCGAGCACTCTACCAGGCTACATCAACAGTTCTTAGATTTTTTTCCAAGGAGCATCTATGAGTCTGAATTTTAAAATGTGCTTATCTTTTTTCTTGAAAGATAGTTTAAGCCTGGTGGTGGTGGCACACACCTTTAATCCCAGTATTCGGGAAGTAGAGGCAGGTGGATCTCTGAATTTGAGGCTAGCCTGGTCTACAGAGTGAATTCCAAGATAGCCAGGGCTACACAGAAAAGCCCTGTCTCAAAACAAAACAAAACAAATAATTTAGCTTGTTTTCCATTTATGGATTCTCAATACCTGAGAGACCTTTTCCATCTTCGTTGTTGCTGAAATACCTGCTGAAAGTTCCTTTTAGGTCAGCCTGACTCTACTCAGTGTAAGTTAACATTTCCACATTCTGCTTAGTTTTCTCGACTTTCACTACTACCCGCTTCATTTTTAGTTTACTCCTATGGAGACTCAGTTTCTTCCTTTAACTCATGATTTTAAGTCTGAACCACGCAGATGTTATCTTTATGTATATTACCTCTCATTCACATTCTCCTCCCCTCCCGCTGAACTCCCTGGGATAAACACTTGGCACCATCAGGTCCTTGGGCTCCGCATTCACTTTCGCTGCTTTGCAGTCTATTATTTCCATCTTATTGGTAGCTCAGATTCTTCAGAAAAAAATCATTTTTGTGCAATAGGGATTATCTGGCTCAAAAAAAAAAAAACACCTAGAAATTGTCTATTTCCTACCATAAAGGCTGCTTTTCTGGTTGTTAAGGGCATTCCATATCAGGTCCTGCCAGTGGTAAGTTGGGTGACTCTGGGCACAATTAGCTTCTTTAGGTAGCACTATAAAAACGTTAATGAAAATTCCATTAGGTAAAGAATATAAGGAAGGCACTTAGTGAGTGTCTGACATATAGCAGATAAGGAAATAAACTGTCTGTGGTTGCTTAGCTTACAGTAACTTCCCTGGTGGTTGTATCTGTGCAATTTCTTCTGAACACAAGTTCTGATGGAGACTGTCAGCAACTCCCAGACTTGCCAGGAGTGAATGGCTGAAGCATGGACACATGGGCTTAAGCCAACTAGTCAGTCTTTACTTGAGTCTTGTTAGGAGTACTATTTTATGACTGAAAAGTACTTACTGTGTGAGCAGGGTTGCTGGAGGATGTCAATGCTGTACAGCAAAGGAGACCTGAGAAGTGGGGGATGGCTTAGGGGGTAAAATGCCTGCTGCACGCGCACGAGGACCTGGGTTTCGATTCCAGATCTCGCTGGCCAGAGAGTTCAGCCAAAACAGCGGTTCCATGTTCAGTGAGAGTCCTTGTTTGAAAAAATAAGGTGCAAAGCAACTGAGGAAGACATCCTGTTAAGCCTTCACAAGGGTGCACACCAACGCACATTCATACAACACACATGGGCATCATTTTAGTATTTGGCCTCACTGGTTACAATGATGTACTTATCCTGGCCAACTTGGAACTATGTAGATCAGGATGGCCTCAGATTCACAGAGCTCCGTCTGCCTACTCCCTAGTGCTAGGAATAAAGGCATATTCTACCACACCTGGCTGAGCTCTTTACAATGTTAACATATGAAGGAATAATAATATATTTTAATGCTAATAGAACTTGAACATGAATATTTTCAATTTATGCTTAGTTACATAGAAGTTTTATTTCTTTTTTTTTTCCAGAGTCAACATCTGTTACTATCTCAACAGCTATGGAAATAGTGTTGTTAAAATACTAATATTAAATTTGGATGGTCCTTCAGAATTTCCACAGCCTTTCATTATCCTGCTTGACTGTGTGAGATGAGTAAGCTGGGTAAGACTGAGCTTAGTTTTCTTTCTTCTTTCCTTCTTTTTGAATAAAGAGTGGGCAAGAGACACAGGATGTTAAACAGTGTTCAAAGTGGAGAAAGGTGAGCCCACCTAGGACTGAAGCGACCTCTGCAGCATGATCACACCCACAATAATGCAGAGCCTGCATGCTGTAAAACATTTCCATCAGTTACTCTTAGTTAAATTTCATCAGCTCAATCCTAACACACTGAAGGGCACTCCTGGTCCACTCTCAACCATACCCTCAAAGCCACTTTTATGCTCCCCAGAGTCTGTGCTGTGCTGCTAACCAAACTCCTGTTGTGCTTTTAAATTCCAGAACTTTAATGCGGTGAGATTCCTGCGTGTGGCTGTTTGTTTAGTTGTATTAATATCTGGGTCCACCGCTAGTGGTAACCAGGCAAACAGCTAGAGGTGAGTAAAATCTTACGTCCTTGAGCAAGCTAAGGCTTGGGAAGTCGAAATCACAAAGTGGTGTAGGAAGAGCTGTCACAACACCTTTGTCTTAGAGGACTCAGGGGCTTTCCTACCACCAGCTCATTCAACTACAACGCACCGATGAAGAGAGATGAATGACAGAATCCTTATTTCTTCTCCAAAGCTGGAGAAAGAATTGGGTACTGGAGAAAATGCAAAGTAAGGACCATTTGTCTCCCTTGGAAGCCTCTTCCATCAGTTATGGGAATTCCTCCATTTTAAAGTAGAAAATATCATCCATGGCAAAAAATATAATTTTAGAAAAAAGATTCTTTCAACAGATGGTTACATTAAGAGATATCAGAAGTCTCATAGTATTAGTGAGTTCGATCTTGCACTTTGATATTGTCTGTTCTTATGGGGCTAAAGAGTTGCTTTTAAATGTACTGGTATAATAAACCAACAGTCCTGGCACAGATCTGAATTTCTCTAGACTGCCATTAGGCTCAAATCGATTCTCCAAATAAAGTCTGTCCCAAGAGACACAATGATGTAGGGGAAAAGGGAGGTTTTTTTTTTTTTTTTTTTTTTAAGCAAGCCTCACGTTTGTCTTCAAACCATCTGTACCTTTTATTAACCAGGGGCTGGAGCCGCCCAGGCGGACAGATACAGGTGAACAACAATCTTCTCCCACACAAGCCTGGAATGGTAACAGTGTGCAGCTGCCTAAGAAAGAAAAGCCTCTTCTGAGCTGTGGGCTGGCGTGGGTGTGTGTGTCAGGGCGAGGGAGTCGTTCCTCTTCTCCATCCAAGGATGCTATTTATCGGAAATCTTGCACATCTTTTTGCAAAAATTGATTCCTCTCGAGTGGGAGGCAAAGCCCTTTAGATCATAAAGAAAGGGGGAAAAATTACATGCAAGATTGAAAGGGGCGCTTTGGAGAGAAAAGCTTGGCGGTCACAACCTGCTCTAGCTATGAAGACCACGCCCTTCCGTCCCGCGTGCCAGCAGTCCCCCGTGATCACTTCGCCCCCAAAACCGCGGAGACATTTTCATTCTCGCTCCACGTACGCGTCCGGTTCCCCGGTACCCTCGCTACTCTCAGGGAACCAGCACCAGCCCCGTGCCCTCCCCTTGCACCCGCTCCGGCTGTTTCATTCACACCTGGTTGAGCCGAACCTCTGCACGTAACCTCCACGTGCCAACCCGGGCCGTTACTCTAACCCTGGCTTCGGTTCCTCCCCCACCTCCCGCCCCGGCTCCGCCCACCGCGCCCGGGGCGCGCGCCCAGACCCCCCGCCACCAGGCCCGCCCGCTCGGCGCGTCGCCGCTTCCTGTGCCCCGCCCCTCCCTCACCGGGGAGGCGGGGCCTGGACGCGAGCGAGCGCGGCGGCGTAGCCAATAGGCGCTCGGCTTACTCTGGCCTCTCCCCCGCGCGGCCGCCAATCGCGGCGGGCGGTGGTGGTAATATTGTGGAGTGGAGTTTGGATGCCGCCGCTGCCGCGGGCTGGAGCGGCGCGGCGGCGGGGGCTGCCGGGGTATTTCGGGGAGGGGGTGTGAGGCGACGGCGAAGGCAGCGGCTGCGTGTGGAGGCGGTCGAGAGAAAGAGAGAGAAGAGAAAGAAGAAAGAGGGAGGGAGTCCTCGGTGGAGGAGGCGGGACCGGCGGGGCTCTTCACGGCGGCGGGCGGCCGGGGAGGCGGCGCCGCCCCCTGCCCGCGCTCTTCTCAGCGAAGCCGGCCACCTACCTACCCGCCGGCCCCGGGCAGTGGCCGAGCGGCGGCGACCGCCATGGCGTTTCTCAAACTCCGCGACCAGGTAGGTGAGGGACGGCAGAGCGCAATCGCGCCACCGGGAACCCGGAGGAGGGCGGACCAGCGGCGTGGGCCGCCCGAGTACCCGCTCAGCGCGGTGGCTGCGAGGGAAGCGGGTGTCCCGGGCCGGGGACGGCGCGAGGCTGCAGCCTGGGACCGTCCGCCTGTCAGTGCAGCCCGGGCTCTGAGAAACCCACGTGCCGCCGGGGGATCGCGGCCGCCACCACAGGGGCGGGTTCCGCGCTCGCCGCCCTCGCGTCCGGCGCGCTGCCGGGTAGGCGCCTCCTCTTTCCTGCCAGGTGAGGCTCGGGCCTAACAGGTGGCTTTGCTGTGCAAAGCGGCAGCGGTGCTGGTGGCCGTGACCTGGGGTCACGACCTTGCTCTCGGGTTGCTTCGTTGGGTGGTTCCCCGACCAACGCGTTGTCTCGCGGAGAGGTGGTGGCGGAAGAAAGCAGACCTACCTTTCTTGAATGATTCTGCTAGAGACTTGTACCGTGCAAATCCCCGGACTTGTTTTCTCTTGACATTTCTGCACCATCTTGGTTAGTTTTCTTGACTTAGGAAGAGCTTGTCAAAGAACACCTGAAATGCTGCAAAGACTCGTTCTGTGGGCCTGGAAGAATAACTTAGTATCTACCAATGAAATCGCAACTGTGTCTGAATGTTGTTCCCTTTAAAAACGTGAGGTGGATTGTAAAACTTTATAATTTGCTTCAGGAGATGTAGATTCTCCCCAATGTTTATATTTTTTGAAGGAAAAAGGAAATTAACGTGTGAAATTTCGGGATCGTGGGAACCTATTAACGCTGAGTACTTATTTTGCTATTGTTTCCTGAATAGGAGATACTGAACAGATTTGAAGGGAAAGTTACTTTGCATGCATTGGGAAACCATTCCGAAAGTGAGCACAGGCTTACCAAAAACGATAGGGAAAAACTTCATATGTATATGTATTTTCTGCCAGTAAAAGTTTAAGTTCTGAATCCAGCTAATAACATTTTTTATTTAAAAAAATGGTATATTCTCTTTAGACTGATGGCTGGCTTTCTGTATCATTTGGTATCAGCATAGTTTTAACTAATATTAACATTAAGGTGTGATTCTTGGAAAAACTTTAGTTGATAGTTTATATTTCAAATTATGTGAATAACTTTATTGTCCAGCATGTTGCCATTAGCCACATATAGTCTTTAATTAAATTAAAAAAAAAAGAACCAGTTTCTTAGTTGTGCTAGTCACTTTTCAGAAGTGTTCACCAGCCACAAACAGCTCTTGGTTACTGTGTTAAATACAACAAACTCTTTCATTGCACAAAGTTTTGTCAGAAAAAAAAAAACCTGGTAACAACAAGCAGAGTTAAAGCCTACGACATGTAAATCTTATATAGTTAATACCATGAAACAAGATTGAGATTTTCCTCTAATTTTATTATTCTAGTAGCACTTCCTGCCTACATATTTGATTCTAACCCTTCACTTTTGAAAAGATTATCTTGTGATTTGGCCGTTTGTGTGCATTAGGAATCTGGTAGACTTTTTAGAACATCTTAGTTTATAAAAACTATGAAATAAAAACAATGCATTTGCATCTTTGCATTTGAGTATCTAGGAACTACAATAGTGAAGCATTTGTAATACTGATCCAGTTTAATGTGATATCCTTTAATACTTGGTGGTGATATTGATCTTTAAAATGTCACCTGTAAACTTAGAGATGATGGCATTGCTGGCGAAGACTTGCTGTAATACTGACTAATTGTCTCATCTAGTTCTTTTGAAAGACTTTACCAACTGAGTTTATTTTGCCTAATTTAAAGGGAATTGTTCTTCTTAGAAATCAGTTTATATTTCGTTATTACAAACCAGTGTTGATAGAAACAAAATGGAATGCAGACAGTTTAAACTTTCTCATGTGTAGGAAAAGCACTTCAGGAAGGTGAAATACTTTTTGGAGGAAAGATAAGATCTGGATATGTACACTGGATTTTTAAACCTGGAAGGGAGTTGACATAGCTTCTAACTCAAAAGCTTTATATACATTTGTGATAGGAAGTAATATAATTTGCTTTGGTTTTGATTTTTGCTAACCTTGCAAAGCATAGTACATAGAAGCTAGAAAAGAGTTAGGTTTTTCTACAGGAGAAGGGTTCTACATGGTACAGATAGAAAATTAGAGGTGAAGAGATGGCTCAGTCAGTAAAGTGCTTGCCACCCACATAAGCATGAGGATCTGAGTTTGATTCCCAGAACTCATGTTAAAAAAAATAAAAAACCTAGGGTCAGTGACACATGCCTGTAATCACAGCTCCTGGGAGAGAAACAGATAAATTCTCAGGGATCCCTGACCAGTCAATGTAGCCTACTTTGCTTATTCCTGAAGAATGACACTACAGGTTGGTGTCTGGCCTCCACATGCACGTATGCAGCCACAGGTACACAAACCAACAATATACATATAAGATACACAGAGAAGACAGAAGATCAGTAAACAAATAAAGGAAATTGTTTTCATTCATTCGGTAATTAGAATAAGACAGCATTCTCATTTTGTGCCAGTATGTAATTAAGGGGATAAGATACAATTGCTGTATTACTTTCTGCTTATGAGTAGATGAAAATATTTTTTAAATTATTAGTAAAATGGGGGGCTAGAGAGATTGCTCAGTGGTAAGAGAGCATCGGCTGCGTTTCCAGATGACCTAGGTTCAATTCCAAGCACACACAGGTGTGATTTCCAGAATCCATATCATGGCTCACAACTGTCTTTAGCCCCAGTTCCAGGGTATCCAGCACCCTTCTTTCATCTGTAACAATGGCAGGATTTTACCTCTTTAAGTATCACTTTTTATCTCTTTAGCTGATAAAAAACTGCTCATATGTATAGTTGAACTTTAAATCATAGGCTTTATGTTCTATTAAGAAAGGTGGTTGGTCTTTGTTAGATTCCCCATTTTAGAAGCTAAATGGCAACTGACACTGGCTTCAATGTATAGATGATGTGCAGTGGTGGAGATCTTGACCTTCGAATCAGTCATGTTAGTGCGCTGAACCCCAAGCCTCTGTTGTTGTGCAAGGTCTATCTAGTATTTCTGGAGTTCCATTTTCCTTTAGGATGCCAAACGTTCAGATTCTTAGGTAAAATCTATTTATAAATGTTGGTAAATTGGTAGCTATCAATGAGAACAATGAATACTCAGGTTATAAAAAAGGACTAGTATGAAACTAGTTTATAACTGCTTATTTAGATGAGTTGGAGAAAAACTACAAAAATGGTACTCAAACTGGGTGTTCTTTAACATACATAAAGGGGCTAAAGAGGTCATAAACCGTAAACACCCCACCCATCTCTCTCCTCCCCCCTCCCCCCTCCCCTCCCCTCCTCTCTTCTCTCGCTCTCTCCCCTCCGTGTGTGTGTGTGTGTGTGTGTGTGTGTGTGTGTGTGTGTGTGTGTGTGTGTGTAGGTAGGTAGCCAGGGATTGGATCTAGGACCCCATACATGTTAGGTAAGCTTTTTTCCTGAGTTAACACCCACCACCAGCCTGGCCATAAACCTTTTTAAAAATTACGATAGAATTTGTATACCATATAATTCACTCTCTTAAAATAAGTGAACACACTGAATTGTTATCACCACTAATTCTAGAACATTCTCACCACTCCAGAAAAAACACATGGCCATTAGAAGTCTTTTTTCCTTTCTCTTGCTTTTTATACCTGACAACCACTAATATACTTTTTATGAATTTGCCTGTTCTGGATATTTAATTTAAATGGAATCATTTATATGCACTTTTTAATGTCTCATTTGATTCATTTAGCATAATACTTTGTAAAGGTTTATCAATATTGCATCAGTCTGTTGTTCATAAGTTTGTGTGTCTGTGTGTAGGGTTGCTGAGTTCAAATCCTAAAGGTCTTATGCTAAATAGACACTTGGCCACTGAGCTCCATCCCCAGTCCTGGTCATAAACTTTTGTTTATGACATAATACATAATGTTTAAGAGTTTGTTTTAAAAAAAGTTTAAAATACTTACACCATTTATAGTATATTTCTGCTTTTCAAAATTTGTTTATAACTAGAGTTAAGTTTTGTTTGTAGTAATACTGAAAGGTAGTGGCTTTTTTTTTAAAAAAAATTCTCTACTTGTGTTTAGTATGTAGGTTTCTTGAAGTACTAGTTCTCCCCCATGTAAAAATCTTTAAATTTTTTAGGTACATGATTATGAGATATAAAAAATGATAATTGAAAATATTATATTGTGCAGTGTGTAATGATTAAGTCAGAGTGATTGGTATTCTCCCTAAACATGTATCATTTCCTTGTGCTGGGAACATTGAGAAGCTTCTCTGCTATTGTTTGTAGACATATACAATTTAATATTTCATCTTGGTAATAAAATATACAGTTATTGTCAACTATAGTTCACCTACTCTGTTTTAGAATGTTAGAAATGATTCCTTCTAATTAACTGTATGGAGTAGAGGGTGGATATGATCAAAATGCTTTGTATATGGTTATTCTTGGTCTTCTTGGTTTGTTTAGAGAGTTTGTTACATAGCCCTGACTGCCCTGGAACTTGCTGTGTAGACCAGGCTGGCCTCAAACTCAGA